GCACCTCAGAATTTGACTTCAGCACTGCGCCTCCTCTGAGTGTCCGTATGCGTTACTCTTTCCTCCTAGTTGTAGGACTTCCACTCAGCCAGCGTTCCTGTGGGTCTGGATGATGTCCGTTCCGTCTTTTAGTTTCACTTTTGAAGTGGTTGTTCCAGGCAGCAAACTCCGGCGTTAACCTATGCCGCCATCTTGGTTCTCCCAAATTTAAAATGTTTTATTTCTCTTCTCATTTTTTTTTTTTTTAGGTTCAAGAATATATGCTTAGAGAAGGATTTAAAAATAAATCTGAACTGATGAATGCAGAGATCAGTCATTTGAGAAATAAGATTGATACTGCTCAAAAGGATAATACTTCCTGGATTGAAAAAGCCATAGGTGTCTTGTCAATTGTGTAATTAACCTATGCCGCCATCTTGGTTCTCCGGAATTTAAAATGTTTTATTTCTCTTCTCATTTTTTTTTTTTTTAGGTTCAAGAAGATATGCTTAGAGAAGGATTTAAAAATAAATCTGAACTGATGAATGCAGAGATCAGTCATTTGAGAAATAAGATTGATACTGCTCAAAAGGATAATACTTCCTGGATTGAAAAAGCCATAGGTGTCTTGTCAATATTGTGTAATACTGGTAAAGCTGTTAGTGATATTTTGAGAGGCATAAGTTTGTTAAAAAAGAAATAATTTTCCTTCCAAAAAAATTATAGAATGTGGATATATGCTATGGCTTGTTTTTAGTGTGTATTCTTTTCAAGTTTTTTCACCCAATGAAACAAAAAAAGGTGCTTACTAAAGAATGTCAATGCCTATCCCTCATTAAATAGAATTAATGCTCCTATGCTTTGTTATAGCGTTTACTCTTTGAAATATGCATGTTTAAATAAATGTACTTACAAACAATTCATTGACTTATTACTTTTAATGACAAAAGCTTAGAAACTACTAAAATATTCATCGATATAAATTGGTAATATAATTTAACATGTGCACATGCTGAAATATTATGCAACCAGTAAAGAGAGAATTCAGCTCTATTTTTATAAATATACAACAATGTTGAAAATACATTGTAAAGTGAAAAAAGGAGGAACACAAGAAGTGTATAATGTGTATACTGGAAAAAAATGTAATTACTGTTTGCAATCATACATATGTGTACACACTGAATACCTATGGAAGCCCTCAAAAAATATCAGTTCCTACTCTGGAGTTGGTGGGATCACGGTAAGCATGTCACTTGCTTTTCATTATATACTCTCTCTTCTAAATACTGTAAAAAAAATCCTACATAATAAAGAGGTAATATGCAAATTTACCATCATGTAATTGCACAAGATGGCCACCCCCGTGTGGTTACAAGATGGCCGCCACAAGATGGCCAGCAGAAGAGGGCAGTTGTGGGCAATCAGGAAAGCAGGAGAGGGCGGTTGGGGACAATGAGGCCAGCAGGTGAGGGCAGTTGGGGGTGAACAAGCCCTCAGGAGAGGGCAGTTAGGGACAACCTGGCCTCCAGGGGAGAGCAATTGGGGGCAACCTTGCCTTTAGGGGAGGGCAGGTGGGGGCAAACTGGCCTCCAGGAGAGAGCAATTTGGGGTAACCAGGTCTGTAGGGGAGGGCAGTTGAAGGGGGAAGGCCTGCAGGGGACTGCAGTTGGCGGCAACCAGGCTGGCTGGGGAGTAGTTAGGCATTGATCATGCTGGAAGGGGAGTGGTTAGGGGGTGATAAGGCAGGCAGGCAGGTGAGCAAGTGGTTGGGAACCAGCAGTTCTGGATTGTGAAAGAGATGTTTAAACCAGCAGTTGGATATCCCTCAAGGAGTCCCAGATTGGAAATTATGCTGGCTAGGCTGAGGGACAACCCCCTTCTTTTCCCAATGCACGAATTTCATGCTCCAGGCCTCTAATCATTAATAAATAAATAACAAAGAAAATGTAAAGTGTAACACTGATAATGACAATAACAAGAAAATGTAAAAACTGGCTATTATTAGATCATGAAAGTTCTCACCGCTTCTAGAAATGACACAAGCCTGCAAAATTAGAGGTTTCAGCTTAAATCAAAGTATACAAAGTATAACATTTGCATCCTCATCTGATTTCCTTATAGGACTGGTTCTCAATCCATTGGATTTACTTCAAAACTAAGACATACACTTTCCTGTCTCACTTGGAAATCTCAGCTAGAGTAACTTCTAATTCCTATTCTGCATTCCACTTCTAAGCTGTTAGAAGCAAATTACCAAACATAAGAACATGCATTGGTGAGAGAGATTTTATATCCTTAAAAGTTCAGTGGTGGCCTCTATGCTATAAGGAAGGGTAAAGAGACATGTACTACTGCACACCTGGATGGCCCGGTGGAGTTGGGGATGGTAAACCTTGTCACATGGAGGCCAGGTTTTGGCACTTAAATGCCATCAGTATCATGGTTTGCTTTAGCTCAAGCTGCTATAAAAAGGTACCATTTTTGTGTGTCTTAGAAAGCAAATATTTATTTCTTCTAGTTCTGGAGGCTGTTAGTTTGAGATCAGTGTGCCAACATTGGGGGTTCTTGGTCAGAATTCTCTCCTTGATTTGGAGAGGGCTGCCCTCTTATTGTGTCTTCACATGGTGGAAAGGGTTGGGAGGAGCTCTCATGATTTTTGTAATAAGGGTAGTTAAACAATAGTGCAAGAGAGAGAGTGTGTAACTTAGTGAAATATAATTGTCAACCTAAATGTATGTGAGAAAAAAATAACTTTTAAAAATAGGTACAAAATTTATATTTGGTAGAGAGTTTTTCTTGAAAAAGTCTGAAAATGTTCTAAGTATTTTACTTTAGTCAAAAACAAAGATAGCCTAAATATAATGTCTGCACTATGAAAGGGAATGAGATCCAAAAATGTAATAGATTTGTGAGACAATAAATATTGACTGTGTAAAAATCATAGTAATATACTCTGGAATTAGAAAAGAGCAGATAAAATCAACATAAAATAATTCACAAAGAATCTAGACATAGATCAAGTATTAGAAGGTTCTTGTATTATTTTCAGGAGATTAAGGCAAGTAATTTTGGATTTCATGATTTAAGTCTAAATATTGCCATTTATAATGTAATCAGTTAAAGAACAGAGAAAGTTTTCTATTTCTATAGTAGGAGACTTAGAAATGATTTTCATATATCTAAGTAAGTAATAAAAAAAGAGGTAAAATTTCAAGTAAAGTTAGAAAATATTTTGAAGCCATGATGATCACTTTAGCCTAATGTATGAATGTAGTACCCTACACCCAACAATAGTAGAATATGCTTTATTGTAAGGCACACTAAGAAACAGCACATGAATTTTACCTGTACCAAACCACAAAGCAGGATTAGTTGTCTTATGTCAGATTCTCTAGAAGCAGAGCCTTGGTGATGGGTTGTGTTCATGTGATTTATTGAGGGCGTGCTTTCAATAGAAGGGAAGCGGGAGGGGGCAAGAAAATAGAAATGAAAGGAGGCTATGGTAGCAGGGAACAAATGGCTTCAAGCTGATCCACTGGGATCTCTGTAGCACAAACAGCATGAGAGCTTGTCCCTCCTTGAAGCAAAGTGCTAGACATTTGTACCCCATCAGGCATTGTGTGTGGGCCATCCATCTTGAGCAGAGCAGCTACCATGCTGTTAAGGGAAATTCTGCAAAGGAAAGAGCAGCTGTGAGTTTTAGCAATGAATATCCACAGCAATAGCAGGATGGATGCAAGGCCTTGTAAGATGATCAAACAGAGGCACTAACAGCGAACAGCACCAGTGTAAAGATTCATATTTGCAGGCCTACTACGTGCCAAGGTCTATGTATGACACACTTACCACCACTGGTGGGGTCCCTGTCATCTTGGCAGCGTATTACTTAGATGTTGAATTCCTTTTCAGAAACTTATTTTTCAGACCTCTGTAGGTATAGTCTACTGCTGGATGAATTCCCTAGAAAGCAAATTCTGTGACTGAAATTGTTATGTAAAATTTTTACTAGGGAACACTACTGGAAAGAGCACTTATGTTATGAAAAGATGTGGAAGGAAATGGGACTGGGAAGGAAGGGAAGTTTATCTAGAGTCTTAAAAATTGCTTTACCCATTTCAACAGAGAACTCTGGTCTTCAGTAGTTCTTCTCTTTCCCCCAGTTTTTAAGAGATCGGTCATGGAATGATGAACACCCTAAGAAGTGTCAAAACTTTGGGCAAAGTGACTATTTATGTAGGGAGCGGCTATAGCAGTGAGGGCGAACCAAGACATGCATGTCAGAGGTGACATGCGAACTCATTTTTTTGGTTGTAAATGTAAATGGTCAAATGCTCAAGTCAAAAGACATAGAATGACTGAGTAGATAAGAAACCATGATCTATATATATGCTGTCTACAAGAGTCCCACCTCAGAACTAAAGATATACACAGACTGAGAGTGAAGGGATGAAAAAATATATTCCATGCAAATGGAAAGGAAAAGAAGACTGGAGTAGCAATACTCATGTCAGACAAAATAGACTTCAAAACAATGGCTATAACAAGAGACAAAGAAGGCCACGTCATAATACTAAAAGGAAAGATTCAACAAGAAAATATAACTTTTGTAAACATATATGCATCCAATATAGAAGCACCCAAGTACATTAAAAAAAAAAAACACAACTCCTGATGGACTATAAGGGAGATATTGACAGAAATACAATCCTAGTGGGGGATTAACACCCCACTGACAATACTGGATACATCTTACAGACAAAAATCAACAAGGAGGCAGAGACCTTAAAAGTCACACTAGATCAGATGGATCTAACTGATATTTATAAGACATTGCACCCCAAATCACCACAATATACATTCTTCTCAAGTGTACATGGAACATTCTCAAAGATAGACCATATATTAGGGCACAAAAAAAGTTGATAAAAATTCAAGAAGATTGATAAACTACCAGCATCTGCTCAGATCACAATGGCATAAAGTTAGAAATCAACTACAATAAAAAAAACCTCAAAAACACTCAAATACATGAAGACTAAATAGCATTTTACTAAACAATGAATGGATTGCTAACGAGATCAAACAAGAAATTAAAAACGTCCTGGAAACAAATGAAAATGAACACACAACCACCCAAAACATATGGGACACAGCAAATGCAGTCCCAAGAGGGAAGTTCATAATATTACCAGTCTACCTCAAGCTACAAGAAAAAGCACTAATGAACTATCTAATTCTACAACTATATGAATTCAAAAGAGAAGAAAAAGAAAAGCCCAGAGGAAATAGAAGGAAGGAAAGAATAATGATCAGAATGGAAATAAATTACATAGAGAAAAATACAGTAAAATACAATCAATAAATCCTAGAGGTGGTTCTTTGGAAAGATTACAAGACTGATGAACCCCTACCCAGACTCATCAAGAAACACAGAGTGAGGAACCAAATAAATAAAATTGAAAATGAAATAGGCAATATAACTATAGTACCACACAAATACAAAAGATGTTAAGCAAATACTATGAACAACTATATGCCAACGAACTGGACAAGCTGAGTGAAATGGACAAATTCCTAGAAACATACAGTCTTCCAAAATTCTTTCTTTTTTTAAAAAAATATATTTTTATTAATTTTTTATAGAGAGGAAGGAAGAGGGTTAGAGAGTTAGAAACATCAATGAAATAGAAACATTGATCAGCTGCCTCCTGCACAAACAATGCACACACCCTTGACTGGAATCAAACCTGGGACCCTTCAGTCCGCAGGCCGATGCTCTATCCACTGAGCCAAACCGGTTAGGGCCCAAAATTCTTTCTGAATCGATCAGGAAGAATCAGGAATCCTGACTAGGTCAATAAAAACTGATGAAATTGAAGCAATAATTAAACATGTTCCAGCAAACAAA